CGGGCGAGGGTATGCGTCCACCACCAATCGTTTCGCCGCCGGGTGTTGGTGTTCGTGCGGTGGATGAGCATGCAGGCGGGGTGGCTGATTCGCGACGCTTAGGATTTTGTTCGCGCACCGTATCGCTATCGTCACTTTGACTTGCTGCCGCTGCGGCTGCGGAAGTGTGGTGGTGCGGCGGTGGTGTGAGCGGACTGCCAAGGAAACTTGGCAACACGGAAGCGGGACGTGGTGGCGGTGGCTGTGGAGACGCGGGCGATGAAACGGATGAAGTGGCGGACGATGTGCGTGCTGCGATGGTGGCACGTTGTCGTATCAGCAGTGGGCTGGATAGCAGCGAACGAAAAGGTGATGGAGATGTTGTATTATCGGGCCGCGAGCCGCTTTGTGGTGGTGGTGAGTTGGAAGTCATATTTAAATTATTGGCTGTTGGCTGATTAAAGATCGTGTTGGGGTAATTATTGGTTATTGCCGACTGGTGACGTTACACTTGTCGATGCATAGCTTTTTGAAATTTTCATTATTCGTTTAATTGTTCAAGCGTGGAATTAAATTACCTTTTTTTAATTTGGTTTATCACAACCGCCGGCATTTCGTTTACATTTTCTTCTTTATATCATTCACTTATGCTTTGAATTCATGTTTTCATGCTTAGTTATCGATATATTTACAACGCGTTTGTCTATTATTGGTTTCTGGATGTAAAAAAAAGTAGTAGCTTAATTAATTTATAATTTTTTTTTTTTTGTCTTTTATTTTCTGATATATTGTGAAGGTGAAGCAATAAATTTTTATTTTTGCGTTTTTTCTTTGAGGAATCTGCCCAAGCTATTATTCTGGGAGACTTGGTAAATGAAAGAAAATCTAGTTTATGTATTATGCCAAAAACATATCGAAAATCCTGCTAGATCAATCTTATCCTAAAACAGCGCATTATCAATCGAACCCACACAAATTTTAACGCTTCCAAACAAAGAAAATTAAAATTTAGTACCTTTTAATCCTGAACCTAATTTTAACCAGATGTAAACTGTCTACTTTAGTTAAGAATCAGTGATATTCTAAAGTATCTAATAATTTTAAGTTCAAAACAGTTAATAAATATTTGGAAGTACAGGTTATAGGCCCAAGGGTACTCAATAATGAAACAATGCAATGCAATGTTTGGGGAAAGTATCTGAAATAAATGCCTTCGTGTTTTTCAGTAAGCTTCGGAGATATAAAACTATAATATTGAGATTCGCTTTGATTGATTTTGCCCAGTAGGACTCAATAGATATCCGATAAGTTCTCTAACTTAGGGGACCATCGGTCAGAATGCAGGCGAGATTACTTTGCTGTTGTTCATGCTTCCGACAGGGTAGGAAAGTAATGTAATTTGGAAAGGCTTTGCGTGCATCTTTTACGCAGAGTTTCTTAGTAAATGGTTTGGCCGATAAGGTCATAACCAGGGAACAGATTTTTGTGACCTAAAAACCTATAAAAAGGCAAAATCAAATCACGAAACAGGCTAGAAAAGGCAATATAAAATAGCGAAATGGGCAGGAAAATGTTCTAGAAGTCGCAAAAAAGGCAAAAGAAGGCACTAAAAAGGCAAAAACCGAAAAATAATCAAAAAATACATTTATTTTAGAAATACTAGTAAAAAGAGAAAAAAATAAATGAACTATATAGTTTCATTATATCTACATATGAAAAATTTGTACTTTGAATCTTTGACTATTTTCTCCTTTCCAGTTTTTAACTCAGAAATCTTTAATCTCTATAGTTGTGGTAACATTGAACCACAAGATGTAATTTGAAGTTTTGTGGCAGAATTTTCAATCGATTTTCGCGAAGAAAAGCCTTGAATCTACTAAACGTGCGCTCGACGTGAGTTGATACAAGTGGCGCCCATTTTATATATGGAACGTTTACAACTTTCATATTATCAGGAATAAGGGCTTTTTCCTTGCCCTTTACTATTAAAGTTAGAAAAGGCAACATCAAATGTGAATATATGGAATCAGGAAAACCTAAATCGTGGGCATTCTTAATCGAATATAGTACTCTATCTCTTTAGTAGAAGAAAAGGCAATTTCCATAAAACCCGTTCCTTGGTCATAACAATATGCCTGTTATATAATGAAGAAATATATTTTTCATTTTATTTAAATCCCAGCTGGTTAGTTTGGAAATGCGTAACCTTAATTCTTGATCATTTAAATGCCGTCGGAAAAATAGTAAGTTAGTTATTGCTCGAGATATTTGGTATTTTGTCCATGATTGAGCTAGTGAATGGGGCGGTTAGTAATCCCTTTTACAATAATGAGATTAATATTTGTATTTAAAACTTTTAAATGCGGTAATGGGTTCATTGCTAATATGAGGATTTTAATAACGGGTGATTTTTTAAGAGCTTGATACCTTTTTTTTTAAAA